CAATATCTCTTTGGATTTGAGACTTTAGTCTTTGCAACTTTACAGATCTTCTTTATGCACCAAGAGCTTGTAACACTCCAAAGAGAAAGGAAAACTTGAAATCGCATCATATGTCCCCTTTAATTACATGATGGATGATTTTTAAAAATCTGGGGGCTCTTTAGATGTCATGCTTCAAATCTGGGGAGAAATGTTCCCCTCACATTGTGATATTTAGGACAGATCAGCAGAAAGTGTTTCTCGTCCTCTATTTGCTGTAGATCACAGTGTCTACAGATCCTCTGCTCTTGCTCTGTCCATGTTTGTCTATGTCTTCCTCTCTCTATTTCTAAATCATGGTTACTTCATCTGTATTTGGAGAGATTTCTCTCTCTCTCTCTCTCTCTCTCTCTCTCTCTCTCTTGCTTGCTCATGCTATCATCATGTGGCACTATATTCATCTGTTTCAGACACATGACTTTTACAATCATCCACCACATTTATGAGCATTAGCTGGGCAAAATAATCAAACACACGAACAGAGAGACCATTAAAACATGTAGATCTCTGGATCTGACCCTAACAGCTCTCAGAAAACATCTGGACAGATCTCAACTGAACACAACACTGAACACAAACCAGTCATAACATTCACTTACATTTACATTTATTTGGATGGTTTGTGTTTCAAATTGTGTCATTTTGTCAGCTGTTTTTTTTTTATTTCGTCTTAGACCTTTAGTCTAATACCCTTTTTAGTTTGTGTCATACTTAGTCAACCTGTCCTGTTTTTGTTAAATCAAGTTTTAGTTGACTAAAAGTCTAGGAGCTTTAGTCTAGTTTTAGTCAGGAGAACATTTTAAAGTCATATTTTAGTCATGCTGCATAATGGTTAAACTGATAATCACAATTATTTTGCTCAACATTATAATTGTGATTACTGAACAGATTTATTTCTGGATTTTTTTTTCTTCTCTTTTTTTTTTTGTTGTTGAAGAAAATAGAGAAATATTGGATATAGAGAGTTTTTATTTTTTATTCTAGTCATGGTTGTGGATGTTGTTGTGTGTCCTCAGGGCTGGAGAGGGGGCCAATTACAATGAAAGAACCCGCCTCAGAGGCGGAGCTAGAGGAGGCTGAGCGAATCGTGCTGCAGTGTCACATTGATGGACATCCACGGTGAGTCCAGCATCTGATTGGACAGTGAAACATGAGTCTGATCCTCACACAGAACTCCTGCAATATATGAACAGTGAATGATGTAGGTTCAAATGGAAGCCATGTTTCCACCACAAAATAAAAATAGAAAAAAATGTAAAAAGGTAATGTATTTTTTTATTCTGTAACAGAAATTGTCTTCCGTAGGTTACAGATGTGTTTCTGATCATAGTCTACTGACTGTCGCTGATTCTGTGTGAAAAGATGTTTCTGACCTGTGCAGGCCGAGCAGTAAATGGTTCAAAGATGGAGCTCAGCTGGACAGAAAGGACCGGATCCTGACGCTGACCAACCTCAGCACAGGGGATTCTGGGATATACTCCTGCTGTGCTCAAAATGCTGCTGGAAAAGTGTGCAGTAACCACAACATCACCCTCAATATTTTTGGTAAGATTATAAGGTTTGAATAGACACAAGCTCAGGTTCTTCTAGATAAGATTTATAGATTATAGTTTAGTTTAGTTTAGTTTGACGTGTGAGAAGACGTGCCGTTTATGTAGACTGCTTGAGCGTGTCAGTGATGCCCTCACATGCGCTCTCAGGTTTTATTGTGTGTGTTCTGCAATGTTTGTCGTCTCATGTGTGCAATTAAGCAGGAACGTCTAAAGCGTAACCCAACACCTCGGCCAGCCTTCCCATAAGCCACCTGCGCTACTCACGCACACACCTGCAGACAGAATAAAAGCTCTGCTGAAGAATAAAGAGATCAGCTGGAGCATGAATATTACAAATGAAAGGAGAGAGTGAGAGGAGCGAGGATAAAGAGCTTTAGCAGAAGAATAGAGGGCGGCAGAGTTTACACACGCAGACAGACCACAGCATGTCTGTCTGATCTACAGCGTGTCTGTCTGGTCTACAGCATGTCTGTCTGATCCTAGAGCGTGTCTGTCTGGTCTACAGCATGTCTGTCTGATCTACAGCGTGTCTGTCTGATCTAGAGCATGTCTGTCTGATCTACAGCGTGTCTGTCTGATCCTAGAGCATGTCTGTCTGATCTACAGCATGTCTGTCTGATCCTAAAGTGTGTCTGTCTGATCTACAGGCTGTTGTCTGTCTGATCTAGAGCATGTCTGTCTGATCTACAGCATTTCTGTCTGATCCTAAAGTGTGTCTGTCTGATCTACAGCATTTCTGTCTGATCCTAAAGTGTGTCTGTCTGATCTACAGCATGTCTGTCTGATCCTAAAGTGTGTCTGTCTGATCTACAGCATGTCTGTCTGATCCTAGAGCATGTCTGTCTGATCCTAGAGCAACGTGTGTCTGATCCTAGAGCGTAGAGCGTGTCTCTACAGCATGTCTGTCTGATTTAGAGCATGTCTGTCTGATCCTAGAGCGTGTCTGTCTGCTGTCTGGTCGTCTATCTGATCTAGAGCGTGTCTGTCTGATCCTAGAGCGTGTCTGTCTGATCCTAGAGCGCGTCTGTCTGATCTACAGCATGTCTGTCTGATCCTAAAGTGTGTCTGTCTGATCTACAGCGTGTCTGTCTGATCTAGAGCGTGTCTGTCTGATCCTAGAGCGTCTATCTGATCTAGAGCGTTTCTGTCTGATCCTAGAGTGTGTCTGTCTGATCCTAGAGCGCGTCTATCTGATCTAGAGCGTTTCTGTCTGATCCTAGAGCGTGTCTGTCTGATCCTAGAGCATGTCTGTCTGATCTACAGCATGTCTGTCTGATCCTAAAGTGTGTCTGTCTGATCTACAGCATGTCTGTCTGATCCTAGAGCATGTCTGTCTGCTCCTAGAGCTACGC